AAGACAGTCAACGACAAAACCAAATTTCAGCAATATCTATTTACAAATCCAGCTGTACAGAAGAAAGAAAACTCCAATTTAAAGAGGTTAACTACTTCTAAGAAAACACAGGGAATAAATAATCCCAGAGCATCAAATAAAAAAGGGGAAGTACACACACACCATCACCACCACCAACAACAACAACAAAATAGCAGCAATCAACATTGTTCACTGATACCTCTCAACATCAGTGGTTTCAAGTACCCAACAGAAAGACATAGACTAACAGAATGGAATAAGAAGACAGGCTCCATCCTTCTGCTACACATAAGAAAAAAATTAATATCAAGGACAGACATCACTTCAGGGAAAAGGGGTTGGAAAAAACATTCCAAGCAAACGGATCTAAGAAGCAATAGCCAGGTGGTGACCAGCACTGGGGAGGCAAAGGCAGGAAGATCTCTGTTAGTTCAAGGTTAGCCTAGTCTAAAGAGTGAGTTCCAGGACAGGAAACCCTGTCTTGAGGGGAAAAAAAAAGCAAACTGGTGTAGCCATTTTAATATCTGACAAAATAGACCTCAAACTTCAAACCAAAGTTAATCAAAAGAGATAGGGAAAGACAGTATATACTCATCAGAAGGAAAATTCACTAAGAGAATATTTCAATTTTTTTTTTGACATTTCAGTTTTTAATGTCTGGGCACCAAAAACAAGGACACCCAAGTTTGTAAAAAAAAAAAAAAAACATTACTGCAGCTTAAATTACACTGATAACGGCAGATTTCAATACCCCACTCTCGCCAATAAACAGATCAACTAGAGAAAAGATCGGAAATGCTGGTGCTAACTGATGTTATAAATTGAATGGATTGAACAGATTTTTAAAATTTAACTTCTTTATTGATTCTTTAGGAGTTTCAAATGTTGCACCCCAATTCAACTCACCCCTCAGTCCTCCATATCCTCCCCTCATCCCTGCAGTGCTCCCCCACAAGAAAACAAAACAAAGTAAGCAAACAAATAAAAACAGGAACAAAACAAAACAAAAATCTCTTAGCTGATGGGTGGTGGTGGTGCACATCCTTAATCCCAGCAGAGGCAGTTTGAGACCACCCTGTTCCAGAACAGCTAAGGCTATTACACAGAGAAACCCTGTCTCAAAAAGAAAACAAAAAACAAAAAAACCCTCTTAGCTTCTCCTTTCCTGCCTCTCCAAACTTCTTCATTTGTCCTGGTGATACTGGGAATCTCAGTGTGTCATATAGCAAACCCTATGGTCCTACCAGCCTCACTAGCAAATGTTCTTTGCGATGAGTCTGGCTCAAGACCTCTGGTTTCTGGTACACCACATCACTGAACCCTCACCGGAACGCCTCTGGGATATTCTCTTGTCACCCAGAGCCTTGGAATTCTGTGGGTATCGTTCTCCAGGACCAGTCCCTCAGAACCTCCAGCCGGTCCTAGATGGGGTAGATGCTATGGTGGGCCAACCCAAAGCTCAGCTGTGGGCCTGAGTGGAAGCTGAATTGGTCAGTCCTGGCCACTGGGTCCACCCACCTGGGGCAAGGGGGGAAGTCAGATTCCCTCTGTCCTGAGAGTTAGTTCACCCTCCCCTAAGGTAAGGGGTGGGGCCACCTCCTTTGCTGGAGTGACCCGTGCGAGAGGCAAGGCAAGCTTTCCCAGGCCAGCAAACGGCAGGGCAGCTCAGCAGGGCCCTCTGATTTCTCCTTGCAATCTTTCCTAAGGCCTCCTGAGGTGACACAGGCCACAGACATCACCACAGACCCTATGCAGCTGGACCATGGACACAGACATGGCCCTCTGTGGTAGCTTGGGCCTGAATGACGTCCTGGCTCTGGGTGGAAGGAATGGCCATTCAGGTCCAGATGGTTCTTGCTCCCAGATACCACCAAGACCTCAGGTCATCGGCTTCTATGTGACTTTTGGTGGCTATATGGGACTCAGACTTCAGTACAGACTCCAGCCATGGTAGAACCACAGACATGGTCCTCGGCAGCAGCTGGGTCTGGATGTCGCCACTGCCCCAGGTGTCAGTACAGGTCACCCAGACCCTCACAGGCTCTAACAGCAGAATGGCCCTCAGACACCAACATGGCCCTCAGTCTCGGGTGTCTGCACAGCCCTCAGTGGTAATAGGAGCCTCAGACATCAGCACAGTCCCTGGCTGCAGTAGGGCCACAGACCCTGACATGAATGTAGAAATAAATATAAAGTTGTAAGCCTAGGAGAATGAGAGCAGGCTGCCAGCAGCTTTTTCAGCTGTTTAAGGATTAGCTGTTAACAGTGGGTCACTCCGATTTACAACCCACAGCTCTGCAAGGCTGAAACTGGGGTCCCTCTGCAAACTGGGGGTCCCTCTACAAACTGGGGGTCCCTCTGCAAACTGGGGGTCCCTCTGCAAACTGAGGGTCCCTCTGCAAACTGAGGGTCCCTCTGCAAACTGAGGGTCCCTCTGCAGACTGAGGGTCCCTCTGCAAACCTCAGGTCACTCATGACCAGCAATTGATGTGAGCTGAGTTATCTTTGAAATGATGGGATGTATCTGACTTTCTGGTTATACATTTTCCCATACCCTTCCCTGCTAGACAAAACTGGCAGTATCAGGGGAGTGCAGAGCTTTGGTAAACACCATCAGAAAGAGCCAGGAGAAGACAGTGGGCTAAATACAAACAATAGTTTAACTAAAAAAAAAATCCTGTTAGTGGAAATTGTTAAAAAGGCAATTTGTATCTGAGTTTTACTTTGAGATTGTAAAAATTCTTTTGTTCATGCATGATGCTTGCTTCTTGCTATAAAAAGGGGAGTTCGGAAACAACCCATTGCCACAGCCTTACAAGTCCATCTCTGGTTGTGGTGGGCTCAGCTAGCTGATAAGCTTTTTGTGCCCCCATGGGAATTTTTTTTTTGATTTTTTATTTTTTTCCTGGAATAAAGTCTGCTTCTGATTTAATAGACTTTGGTGTCTGTCCCCTATCTTTGCACAACCTGTGGGCCCAGCATCCCTAATACAAAATGTGGTTTGTTTGCAAGATAAAATATGAAGTTAAACTCAGAATCTATTCCTTTTTTCCAGAGAGCTGGGAAGAGAGGCCAGGAACAGCAGATTTTTATAATAAACAGGAGGACATTGTGTGTATATAGACTTGGGGGCATTCATGAGGCTGGGTTTCCCCTGGAAAATGGGACTCAGTTGTGGTGACCAAGGCCCACTCAGCAGTGTTAGCTCAGGGATCTTTACTTCACGGGATTCTCCCTGCACACACACACACACTTCCTGTTTAAGGATTTCCCATCAGTGTCTTGTCTCTAATGTGGTTTCTCCTCCCCTCCCTTCTACCTTCTTTTTCCCTTTGGTAGCCCAGATGCTAGGATCCAAGGCATGCACCACCTTACCTGATTTTATGAAGAACTGGGGATCAAACCCAGGGCTTCATACATGCTAACCAAGAACATCCTCAGCTTTTGGCTTTCTAAAGACAGAGTTTCTCTATGTAGCTTTGGGGCTTGTTCTAGAACTTGCTCTGTAGACCAGGCTGGCCTCGGTCTCAGAGATCCGCCTGTCTCTGCCTCCCAAGTGCTGGGATTAAAGGCGTGGTCCACCACCACCTGGCTTTAGCCATCTTCTAACAACCACCTTACCTTGGAAGCTTAGCTTTCCTAGACTCACGACAGAAGGAGAGGTCTCTTCTCTGTTTGGGACTGAGTATTAGTGCAATATGCACACATTTTCCAAAATGAGACATGCCTTTCTCTTCCTTCACTTGGGACCTCAGCCTCTGTTTTCTCGTTACTTTCAGATCCCCACAGCCACCTTAACTTAACGGAGCCGCTCTTTAATCAGGAAATAGAAGCCCGGGATGATGGCGGCCTTCTTTCCGACCCCATCCCAACCCCTACCCATCTAGCTCTTTGGCAGTTTGGGAAAGGAGAAGGTTGGGGAGCATGGATTAAGGGACCCTGTTCAGTTGTTCTGTGATGGGGACAAGATACAGGGGCCACTAGGAACGGACAGGCAGGTGGGGTGGGGCAGAACCTAACATTAGGTGAACCTGATCCTAGTACTGAAGCTGGCCTTGAAGTCTGCAGTGCCTGGTCATTGATCCACAGCCTAACAAGGTCTAGTGCTATACGGTCTTCTCTGACATTCGGGCCGAAGAAGCAATGGTGCCTCGGAGAGTCTTCTCAAGCAAAGAATCTCAGACACTTAGGTGGTGGCTGAATACCAGAGAATTATTCCAAAAGAACGCTATTAGTTTGGGCTAGAGAGATGGCTCAACCAGTAAAGACAATTGCAGCCATCCTCATGACTTGGGTACGATTCCCAGGACTAGAAATAAATAGAATTTTTTTTTAAAATGCAATTAGCCAGAATATATTGCAGGAAGGTTCTATGGTTGCCCACCTTCCTCCAAAGTGACTCCTTATGACTCTTAGATCCCATAATGACGTCTTTTGTGTGTCTGCATGGAGCTGTGTGTACCTGAGTAGAGGTGCCATTAGAGGCTAGAGCTGTTGGGTCCCCTGGAGCTGTGTGTACCTGAGTAGAGGTGCCATTAGAGGCTAGAGCTGTTGGGTCCCCTGGAGCTGAGATTTCAGGTCGTTGTGAACCCTGGACATGGATGCTAAGAATGGAACACAGGTCCTTTGTAAGAGCAGAAAATACTTTTAACCCACGAGCTGTCTGTCTCTCCAGCCCCCAATTTTTCATTCTCTAAAAAGTATTTATTTTTATTATTGACATATTAAGATTCAGCACGCCCGAGTGTGTGTCTGTGAATTTTTGAAAGTAATGCTGGGGGCTGCGGAGGCCAGAGGCATTAGAGCCCCTGGCACTAGAGTTACCACAGCTTACGAGCTGAGCCGACAGTGTGGTGATGGAAACAGGACTCATGTCCTCCAGAAGAGCAAACTTTGCTCTGAACCACAGACTCATCTCTCCAGTTCTCCATGACATCTTAGACTTACCCCAAGAATAATCAATCAAACCTGAGACACTCCAGAGTTACAGCCGCATAATTCTTTAAATATTACAACATGTTTTAGTGAGATTTGGGGATAGTTTTGTAGGGTCTTGGTCTCAGAGCAGTGAGAGGGGGTAGAGGGCCGGATGAGCTGGAAAAGAATGAGGGGTGAGGCGTGGCTAAGTCTCTACGACTTCAGGGCAGCTTCGCTGGGAATATCCCTGTCCAGGACTTGCAGATCTGTAACAGGAGAGCAACGGCAGATAGGTTAATTAATGTTTGAAGGGTTTTAGCAGGCACAAGCAAATGGCAAACATGGCGCTGACAGGTTGTGCCTTTACCCTCCCCTCCCCTTGCTAAAAACCATTAGATTACAGTCCTTTTCCTTATTTGGCCACATCCTCCTCTTTTTTTTTTTTAAGATATCTTTTACTTATTAGGTATACAGTGTTCTGCCTGCATGTTTCCCTGCAGGCCAGAAGAGAGCACCAGATCTCAGTATAGATGGTTGTGAGCCACCATGTGGTTGCTGTGAATTGAACTCAGGACCTTTGGAAGAGCAGCCAGTGTTCTTAACCTCAGAGTCATCTCTCCAGCCCCCCACATCCTTCTCCTAAAACTGACTACCAACGTCCAGCTATCAAAGTATCAAAGTCCAGCAATCAAAGCCCCTTTTTGGCCACCCTAATTAGCATGCCTAATTAAAATTAAACACCTCAGCTGGTAGTGGTGCACGCCCTTTAATACCAGCACTCAGGAGGCAGAGCAGGCGGATCTGTTTGAGTTCAAGGCCAGCCTGGTCTACAGAGCTAGTTCCAGAACAGCTACTGTTACACAGAGAAACCCTGTCCTGAAAAACCTAAATAAATAAATAAACTACCATTTGTTCATGGGCCATGTATGTCTCCTCTCTATCCAGAGGCATCCTTTGTTCCTCCGGGACAAACACCCGGTTCCACCTCCCTTGTTCCCTTCCCCTTCTCCCTGGTCCTCTGTCTCCCATCTCTGTCTCTTATTCCCTTCCCTCTGTCACTCTGAGGCAAATAAATCTCCTTTGTGCTGAGAACTTGGGCTTGGGGTGTTCTGTGCCTATTAAGGTCCTTTCAATTTTTAATTTTTAAATTTTACTATTAGCATTGCATGTGTGGTGTTAGGATGTGGCAGGTGTGAGTATGTGTTACGGTGCATGTGTGGTGTGGGGGTGTAGGAAGTGTGAGTATGTGCCATGGTGCATGTGTGGTGTGGGGTGTAGGAAGTATGAGTATGTGCCATGGTACATGTGTGGTGTGGGGTGTAGGAAGTGTGAGTATGTGCCATGGTGCATGTGTGGTGTGGGGTGTAGGAAGTGTGAGTATGTGCCATGGTGCATGTGTGGTGTGGGGTGTAGGAAGTGTGAGTATGTGCCATGGTACATGTGTGGTGTGGGGTGTAGGAAGTTTGAGTATGTGCCGTGGTGCATGTGGGGTGTGGGGTGTAGGAGGTGTGAGTATGTGCCATGGTACATGTGTGGTGTGGAGTGTAGGAGGTGTGAGTATGTGCCATGGTGATTGTGGGGTGTGGGAGGTGTGAGTATGTGCCGTGGTGCATGTGGGGTGTGGGGTGTAGGAGGTGTATGCGACATGGTGGACAACTTTGTGGGGTCAGTTCTTTCTTTTGTGGAGCCATCCTTTACCTGGGTGTCGGAAATGAGATCCCAGTTACCTGGCTTACTGGGCAGGACTTTAGCCCCTGGGCCATCTTTCTGGCCCCAGCGGGTGAGTTTTGAGTAACTCCACCCTACTAATGACGCAGAGGCCTGGATGCCTTACAAATCCATTTACTCTACCCTGTCGGACCACAGCTGTACTGGTTTTTAATATTTCAGATTTATTTTGTTATTTTGTGTGTTATTTGTATTTAGCCCAGATATATATCGGTGTACCACATGTGTGTCTGGTGCCCACAGAGGCCAGAAGAGGGCGTCGATTCTCTGAGAATGGAGTTACAGATGGTTGTGAGCCACTCTGCGGGTGCTAGGGACAGAATCTGGTTCTTCTGCAAGATCAGTAAAGCGCTTTTAACTGCTGAGCCTCCTTCCCTCTCCTTCCTTAGTCTTTTGGTGCCCCTGCCTCCTGAAAGGTGGATTGACCTCTGTGACCTCAAGGTGTGGTAGTACACGCCTTTAATCCCAATGCCTGGGAGGCAGAGACAGATCTCTGTGAGTTCAAGGTGTGGTAGCACACACCTTTAATCCCAGTGCTGGGGAGGCAGAGACAGAAGGATTTCTGTGAGTTCAAGGATAGCCTGGTCTGCAGAGGGAGTTCCAGGACAAAGATGTGCAGAGAACCTGTCTCAAAAAGCAAAAGTTAAAAATAAAAATAAAAAAATAGAGGTTAAAATAAAGCCATGTAAAGATGGAAAATACACAGAGAATCTTGATACTGTATGCTATTATGCTCTCTTTGAATTGTTTGAATGCTGAGGAAGGAGCAACAGCTGCTAAAAGACTTTTGCTTATAAATGCTGCAGAATTAACTCAAAATAGGTATTTTGAAAATACCTTGGCTTCAGAATTGAAGTCAAAAGGTATGTTACTTTGGAGAAGAGATTTTGCTTTTGTTTCCACAGAAAATGAGAGGCTCTGGATTTATTCAGAGTTAAGAAAAATCATCTTTGACCAAGGGAGACCACCTGAGCAATCTCCGGTAGGAACAGATGGCCCAGATGTCTGAGTTCTACATCCAGAACAGATTCAAGACTGCTGCCTGAGATGATCAAGACTCACAGGATACTCCAGTCAGGACTTGATTATAACTCTAAATTTTCTTTAGGTCCCCATAAGATCATCAGCGCCCCCGACCAGCAGGAAGTAGCCTGAAATACTACGCCCACATTCCCAACAAATGGACTATGGGTATTTTCCTTTGTTTAAAAAAAAAGAGGGAAATGGTGTGGGAGAATTGTCTGTATTCTGTCAATCATATTTTAATAAAATGCTGATTGGCCAGGCAGGCAGTATAGGCGGGAAAACCAGACAGGAAGTAGAGGCAGAGCAATGAGAATAGGATAAGGCTAGGGAGGAGAAAGCTTCCTCAGCCACTCCTGCGCAGACCACTGAAGAGGCAACATGTAAGCTGTCACAGCTGAAAAAGGTACGGAGCCATTATGGCTAACATAGATGAGAATAATGGGTTAATATAAGTTATAAGAGTTAACAAGAAGCCTGACCTAATGGGCCAATCAGTTTATAACCTGATGTAGACTCCATGTGATTTTCCTTGGGACTTGCTGGCTCGTTGGGGTACTGGGCGGGACAGATACCCCAACAAGCCAGCCCTCATGTTACAGTCTTTGAGTCAAGGTATCTCATGGAACCCGGAGCTTGGTAAAAGCAGCTAGACTAGGTAGCCAATCATCTCCTAGGATCCCTACTTTTATGGAGATGCTGGAGATCCAAAATCAAGTCTCCTTGCCTGAATAGCAAGGTCTTTTCCAATTGAGTCACCTCCTTAGCTACAGACTGCGGGAGGGGCGGTTTTGAGACAGGGTTTTTGTGTGTAGCTTTGAAGCCTGACCTGGAACTCACTTTGTAGACCAGGTTGGCCTCAAACTCACAGAGATCCCCTGCCCCTGCCTCCTGAGTGCTGAGATTAAAAGTGTGTGCCACCAGTGCCCGGCTCAACTAGTTTCTGATGGACTTTGAGGAGTCTGACCATGCAAGGCTAGAAATAGAGGCGCTATCAAGCTTTGGTCTAGGGCCTTAAACGGGAAAGTGCTCAATTGTAAGATCTTGGGACAGCATAGGGAATTAGAATTGGTCCCTGAAGCCGAATCTGAAGTGAAGGAATTGTTGTTGACCTGAGAGATGAAGGCAAGCGATCAAGGGAGAGGCGGGGTGTGTGAAGCGAGAGAGGCTTGCAGAGAGACTCTCTTGGCTGGTTGCAACTCCTTCCCCAAGCTTCCTGCCGCTCATCCATCGTTTCATTTCCCCCCTTCTCCCTCCTCGCCTACATTCCCAATCTTTACCTCCATTCTTTGGTCTGATAAACGTTTCTACCAGGCTCCTCTTGGTCATCCTTGGAGAGTGGGAATAAGGGAGTCCATCTAGGGACAAGACATCATTGTTTGGTCAAAAGTGAAGCCCCAGCCTTCTAACACCCCTATATCCAGAGTCTGGAATGTAATAATGAGTTGGAAGTGTCACCCCAGCCCCTGGCCTGGGAATTGCCCCGGTTCGGACTCCAACTCCCAGCCTGCCAAGCGCTGGCCCCTCCCAAAGGAGGGTCAGGACCACTCCCACAGGGTATTTAGGCTCGCACTGGAAAAAGAAACACATGGTCTTCGGGGGTTTGCCTGGGCTCCTTTCCCCGCCGTGCTGTCCCCATCCACTCAGGAATGTGGCATTTATTAAATGTGGGCATTTTTGATTTGGTCTAATCTGGTTTGATTGGAGTTCTTTACACCAGCAGAGAGGCTCTTTTTAAGGGTTATTTTTAACAATCATGACGAACTAAAATGCCAAAGAGGGGCCAGCGAGCCAGTGCAGCACTAGCTGAGTTTCTTTCCCGTGATCCACATGGTAGAAGGAGAAAACTGACTCTCCCATCAGTTGCTCTCCGACCTCTACACAGAGCTGTGGCATGTGCACACACATGCGCAGTAAATAAAATAGGCAGATAAGTAAATGCAGAGGTTTCATGACAGTCAGTCTGTGGTTTCCCTTTATTCCCTTGGAGTCTTTGAGTGCCCAGTGGCTCTCAGTCAGGACTTTGTCCTTGTGAGAGACATTCAGCCATATCTGGAGAAGTGTTGGACCTTCATGGCTGAATAGAAAGGGAATGCTCTCAGCTTCAGACACGTAGAAACCAGATATGCTGCAATGCCACCTAGGATTGGCCCCAGCAGTCAAGAAGGACCCAGCTCCAGCCTTAAACAACACCAACGTTGAAAGCCAAGGCGTTTGGGTTCAGCACTGTCCCTTGGGGGCAGCTCAGGCAAGTACTGCAGGGCACTCGCAGGGAAGGGAGCACTCACCGGCCCCTCCCAACCAGTGTCCCTCTCTCTTGAGAGAACTGTGGTTCCACTGTGTGCCAGATTGTTTAGGGTTTGGGAAGTGAGCAGGGCTGCTGAGCATGTTCACAAGCACTTGTGGAAACCAAGGATTTGGTTAGAGTGGCTGGTCAGGAAGCTCAGGGCCTTGCCCAGCTTTCTTATGTAGGTTCTGAGCTTGGGCCTTCATGCTTGCACAGCGAGCACCTTATGACTGGGCTCTCTTCCCAGGCCTAGCATAGTTAATTATAATAATTATAATTATTTATTATTATTATTACATTTTTGTTTATTCGTTGTGTATGTGTGTGTGGCATGTATGTGTGGTGAGTATATATGTGTTTGTGTGTAAGTATGTGTGTGTGTATGTGTGGTGTTTGTGGTATGTGTGTGTGGTGAGTGTGTGTGTGTTTGTGTGTATGTGTGGTGTGTGTGTATGTGTGGTGTTTGTGTGCCTTTGTGTGAGTGTATGTGGGTGTATGTGTGGTGTTTGTGTGCCTTTGTGTGAATGTATGTGTGGTGTGTATGTGGGTGTATGTGTGGTGAATGGGTATATATGTGTATGTGTTTGTATGTGTGTGTATGTGTGATGAGTGTGTTGTAAGTGTGTGTGTGTGTGTGTGTGTGTGTGTGTGTGT